AAAGTGTCTGTTAGCCATGCTTACAGATCAGAGGAAATCGCCAGAAGGCAGCATGCAATTCATTTCTTGATGTAATATTGATTCTTTAACAAGTCTGTATTAACTCGCAAACCAATCAGATATCAGTTTTCTAATAGGAAACCATATTAAGGGAAGGGGAGACCATCCCTCCTAAACATTGCAACCAATCATCATTCATTGCTTTATAAACTGACACGTATACCAGATGCATTATCAATTTGACTTTCTAATTTATCAGACAATCAAAAACCATTCATTTTTGTATTGCAAATCTCAGAATGCCGCTGATATTTACGACTTAATTATCAACTTATTCCTCTCACTAAAGAATCTCTGACGTTTCGGTTTTTACATTTACTTTCCCCGTATTCTGGTGGTAACATAACTTAAACATAAAAGTGACGTAATTAATCAACCCTTTAACCTTTCGGTTTGATTTGACAGAAATTAGAAACACATTATCAATGCACTATTGCTTTTGCTGATAATAATCGGTGCATTTAATTATAGTGTATTATTTAAGACCACTTTCAGTGAAATTATGCATTTATCGTTTACACAATGTAAAATAGTATCCTTGATGATTTTATTTCTCAAATTAAATTAAAGAGATATTTGTAAACATTTGTTTATCATAATCATAATTGCATTGGGTTCATTGATAAACTAACCTGCTGTGTTCTGCTCGATCAATTATCTATAAATTATGATTGTGTTGGATAAATAAAGTATATATATATATATAGGAAAAAAAATATAGGAAAAAAGAATTAAGGCTGAAAATGCACCATATATTTATATTCAATACGAATATTCACATTTTGTCTATTAAAACATCAAATTGTTGAAAAATGTTCTCAATAATGTCCTACCGGTTCCACTGTTTAACAGATATTCATGAATGAATTGAATATAAATATTTGGTGCATTTTCAGCCTTAATTTATTTTTCTATTTTATGCACAGCGTGGACAAAATTTAAAACACTTCAATATATATATATATATATATTCAATAATGTAAGATAAAGAACATTTAGACTTAAACCGAATGTCGGAGTTGAATTTTGTAAATCAACTAACAACACAAGTTATCTTTTTGACCAATGTTAGTGATAGTTTGATATTAGGTCACATAACACAAAAGAGTGAAATGTATTGACTATGCGGTATTGGCTCTGCTCATTGTTGAAGGCCGTACGGTGTCACCTTTAGCAGTTAATTTCTGTGTTATTTTGTCTCTTGTGGAGAGTTGTCTCTTTGGCAATCATACCACATCTTCTTTTTTATATTGTATTGTATTACGAACTAAAAATCTGAGTAAGAGATGTTAGCAAGAAATAATATGTAGGTTTAAAAAGATACCTAGAATTAATTATACTTTTCTTTGTATGTGTGATATGAAGTTTTATGTAAAAGAGTTGGAAAATGTAGAAACGGTACGTGTTGACGGAGATTTGTTTCAAACTTTATGATGAAATGATTATTATCGTTGTTAAGTGAAGTTTTGTTACACTCTGGATTCTTTAAAGTTTTGACACAATATAATGCTACAATTTTTCTTTTTTCACAATCAAACATCCTGTTTGTTAAAAGTGGAACCATTAATAATTACAGTCTTTCGCAAAATTCCACATTTATCAAGTTTGCGGTTTTATCTTGAAGGTCAATATCAAGTAATAATTTTTGTAAACTCATTAAAACATTTGTTTAAGAGGGAAATATATGCATATAATAGCATGAGTAATTACATGGTTGATAACGCCACAAAGATTATACCACAGTATCAGATAAAACACATACAAATTTATATATATATATATGTGTTACTTAAATGCGTTTAAAAAGGTACATCAGAAGACATAGAGGGGCCACTAACTATGTAATGAGTGGTAGTGATGAGAATATTTTATGCTCTATGATATATGAATAGGGTGAGAAAATCAGATTGAATAAATCGATAGGTTGATATTATCACTTGCTTGATTATATCATAAGTATTTGAAACTAATCTGATGTCCGTATTTATTTTTGATGCGGTTAAACCAAAGCGACTGCCGTAAATGCATCAGCTATTTTTCAAACCAATTAAACTCTATTTATTCAAATGTGGTATTTCCACTGATGCTAGTTATAGATGCAATAAATCCGATCATTTTGATATTTGCACCTAATTCACATTAAAGGTTTGTAAACATGAAACAGGATAACAACTATTTAAAGAAATTCCTTAGTGTCAGCGTTCTTTAAGAGGGAACGGCAATGTAACTTTTTATCGGTTTTTCATTAATATTAAACTCTGTGAAAGTGTTAGTTACTGTCTGGGGTGTTACTTCATTTATCTGACCAAACATCTTTTATTGTCTTTTATAATAAAGATTTCTTCATAATGAAAGATATAAAAGGGGTAATAGAGAAAAGTGTTAAAGAAGTGACGAATTTATTGGAAAAGCAAGGTGTGATTATTGCGACTGCGTTGCTTCTAAACAAGAACCTGACGATGAGCGGAACCCCCAAAAAACCTATATACTAATGTACCAGAGGATGAAATTGACTCACATCAAACAGCAAGCTGTATAGATGATATAAAAAAGAAGATGTAGTATGATTGCCAATCAGACAACTCTCCACAAGAGACCAAATGACACAGAAATTAACAACTATAGGTCACCGTACGGCCTTCAACAATGAGCAATGCCCATACCGCATAGTCAGCTATAAAAGGCCCCGAAATGACAATGTAAAACAATTCAAACGAGAAAACTAACGGCCTAATTTATGTACAAAAAATGAACGAAAAACATATATGTAACACATAAACATACGTATACCACTGAGTTACAGGCTCCTGACTTGGGACGGGCACATACATACAGAATGTGGCGGGGTTAAACATGTTAGCGGGATCCCAACCCTCCCCCTAACCTGGGACAGTGGTGTAACAGTACAACATAAGAACGAACTATAAAAATGAGTTGAAAAAGGCTTAACTCATCAGATGGATAAAATACAAATATTACAAATACCAGTGGACGTGGCTGGGTACTTGTACATCCCAACAACAAAAAGACACTAAGTACAGATCTGAGAGTACTCGCAGTTACTGACAGCTAGTTCAAAGCCAATAACAACTAATAAAAAAAAGCATGCATCTAAGGCTAAATGCATGCATCTAGGTCTGTTTTTTTGTTAATGGTGTATGATATTATTTATAAACGAAATATATGAAAAGGGTTGAGTACTTGGCGTATCAGCTGCTCACACCTACTAACAAAAAGTTTGAAACTACTAACGATTTAAATTTGTAACAAATACTTCAAATACTGCCAAATAATTTTTGAGCTATTTACTATTTACATAGTTTTAATGAGATTTTGATTGACGTTTTTGGTATAATGATCTTACTCATGAAAAACAATAAAATTCTTTTCATTCAATTATGTCTCATAACAATACTAGTGACTGGGCTTTTTCGAAAAAGCAACGGAAATTAGTTATATGAAAAATGTTTTGCAATATGTACACGCGGGGTATTAATCGAATATTTAAACACACTTGAATTTATTCATCATTCAATGATTTTAACCATACTTTATGGACACTGTCAATTTAATTTAAATCTACACTGTACTGTTGAGTTACTTTGACTAACAATATAGCATGATAAGCTACATGTAATAGCAAATATGCCAGGTTGTTTGAAAACATCTCAATAAATCATGTAAATGATGCTGCATGAGACTAATTTCTTAATTAATCGGTCATATATTTTTATAAACTGCGGTAAGTATGAAGTTCTAAAGTTTAAGTAAGTTTCCTGAATTAAGTATGCCCGACATGTAAATTCGAAATATCGAACTCAGTTTCCAAGCTTTTTATATCTGTTTTTTTCCTTCGTCTCCCACAGTTTCCAACTAACCGTTTGGCCTAGAACAAGTCTGATGAATGTGCTTCTTTTAATGAATTTGTATGTCATCATTTGTATTTATGTTCTTTATTACCCATGGGTCGGCATCGCTTGCCATATATTCCCAGATAATTTCATTCAAAGACAAGGTTGAAATTTCCCAATCATGAGACAATTTGTATTCCTTTAAGCGTATTCAAATCATTTTGGTGTTTTTTTTTTCTCCAGACCTTAAGGATGACTGGAAAATAAAACGGGGTGTCCTGTTGGCTATGGGGGATGCATAAGTATGCAAACACGTCCGATCAGAATTGGGATATTACATTCGATGCCTAATGTTGTAAAAGAGCGTCATTAAGAATCCTTGCAATAACTCTTTGTTGGGTCCACAGACGGCCCGTTGTAAGACTAAATTTCTGTCCTTATCCGCTATATCTTCATCTTCCAGTCTAAATTTCCTATCCTTCATCCCGGACGACCCCCATTATAGGACCCACACAATTATTGATATCTAAATTGTTAAATCGTTCTCTGACTGATCAATTATGAAGTACTTGCTGCTGGACGTTATCAAACAACAATCAATATTGGAACCTTCAACGTTTCAAATTATCGCTTTCTTAATAATTGATGTCGTTCGTACCTTAACAACGTTATTCTAGAAACACGTTTTGTGATCACGAAAATCATAATACTGTATTCCTATGTTTCCTTTTTTCATATAAATATTTTCATAAAACTGTATTTTATTTTTGTTTGTTAGTTTGTAGTTTCATAATTACATCAAACCGTTGGTTTACTCATTCGAATCGTTTTACATTTTGGTATGTCGGGGCCTTTCATAACTAGCTGTGTAGTTTGGGTCTGGTCATTGTTGAACTCCGTATGGCGACCTTTAGTTGCTAACATCTATGTTATTTGGTCTGTGATGAATAGTGGTGTCATTGGCAATAATATCACATCTTCTTATTTTATATCAAAGATGTTTAGGCACTCTCCACTGTGATTTTTGTATAATATTGCTTTCTCCATGAAGATTATATCATTGAAATATTGGAATCTAGATGACAGAAATTATGAAATATTTTTTATTATTATATCAAAAAAACTAACAATTGTGATCATCTTAGAAGCAAAAATAAACACTTCTAAATAAATAAACAAGTGTGCATTCTTATTCATCACATGTATATAAAAAAACCACATAAAATATTTGGACATATTAAATTAAATTTATTAATATCACAATTTTAGATGTTTCTTTGCAAATTAGTAGGACTATAAAAACCTAAATATTATATAAAAATAGTATTTTTGAACCAAACTTTAGTACAATATTTTTGTCGGAAATATAACGTAAAATTAAAACGATAAAATATTTGTATGAATTTTCAAATCTTAAACCATGGAATACCTACTAGAAAAATAGATAACTCTTATATAATATACAAATTATTCATGTTAACTTATTCTAAAAAAAATTTTAAACATGTTAACAGCACACGACTTAATTATAAACTACTCATACACACATCGTAAAAGCTTTATTCAAGAAGGTTTAATAGGTAAAATAACCATTCGACATGCATAAAAAACTATTTAAAGAATATACATGTATAAAAACACATAAAAAGCTAAAACGCAACTTTGACATTAGTCACATGAATTGACGATGATTGATTTACAAATGATAACTTTTGCGATATTTACATAAGTCAAAGAATGCCAGTTTTGGCGCTTCAAGACATATAAAATTTAAAAGACAATTTATGTTTATAATCAGGATAATCACCTTAATATAATAACAAAAACATACTTGCTACAAAATACTGGTCATATGCAAAGTTCAACCTGCTGTGTATATTCAAGTCAATGCTCTTTGAAAAATAACTAGGGTTAGCAATTTTACTACACAATGGATTGTTGTATCTAAACTTGTTTTGACATATAGAATACTTTGGTTCTTAAAGTGCATACACATATATGCGATACTGCAATTTTAACAGTAAGCCAGTAACTTCATCTGATCAATACATTTATTCAAAAATATGTTTTTTTGAAATCTAAATATAATTTCAAAATAAGTTCGTACCCTTCAAAACAAAACTTTTCGACCCGTTGAAAACGTTTAGGGGGTAAACATACAAACAACACAAACTTCTTTTCCACTTTCATTGTATCTGACTTTCTTGGCCATTGAAACTTATTTCTTTCTAAAAGACAAGGATGCATGAAGTTTACAAGTAATCCATCTGCTTCAATACTATCTACAAGACCTGGGTACCAGGTATTCTCAAAAGCAACAGCAATCCATACATTTTTATCTATAACATCTGTAATACTAGTGGCAGGACTGACACATGGAAAATCAATGTCAGAATTACTTTTTTCTAGATTTCCATCATTATCTTCGTGAAGACCTGGTTGGAGCACAGCAATAGTTGTGCTGCTTTTAGCTGTCATCTTATTCCTAGGCAAATAGGTTTTTCGTGGCTTCTGTTTTTTCTGTATAAAAGAATCATTATTTTTTTTTATAATTTAGTGTTGATGGCAGATAATTTATATTGGGGTGTAAAAGCGTTGTACATTTTGCATGAAGCGCGGAAGCGCTTATTCTAAAAATGTGCGCACGTTCAACCCTTGTACAACTATATAAAATTACTAAAAGAAGCATGTAATACTTATAATTACATGGTTTTGCTAGGATCATCAAAACATGATTTCTATCAAGCTTTATTGTGGAAGCCCGTGTCAACATGATTACATTTCATTTTGAAGTTAAGGTTAATTTCAGAATGACGCTAATTTGCTGTTAGCCAATCAAAATAACGTATTATAATGAAATATACATGAACTTGAATATAATATGTTGCACTTTATATGTCTTTTAGTTAATGATGTATCGTGAATAGCTATCCTGTTTTTAACTAGATCGATACGCTATGCCAGATTTTTAACGTGCAAGTTCGATTTGACCTGGCTATGGATCGAACTCTCTCCCTCTCTCTCTCAATCTCTCTCTCAGTCATATAAATTCAGTTAGCGCTTACCTTCAATGTATTAACAAAATTCAGATTTTGCAAGAATTGTTCGTTGTCTTTGATATTTTCCTGTCGAAACAATTCATACGGAGTAAGCTTAAAAGATATCAATAAAACTATATTAGTAAGTATGTATAAATATCAACATATGTTGTCAGAAACTTTGGTTTTTTAAATTCATATTTTCCAACCATTCGATATTTCATGCAATAGTATAATTACATTTCCATGTTAATACCAATTTGATTTCGGTCACGTTTAATTTACGTTTAGCATCGAAAGGACTACGTTGGAATGTATCATTACCAAACCATGTAGGGTCAGACTATAGACCAATGTCTCTTGTTGGTAGACTTTTATGACGTGATCATGACTTGCAGTAATTTGAGCCTTTCCGCAATTGTAAAGGGTTCGTATACTTTGCGGTATGTCAAAAGGCAAAATATCGGCACTGTCCAACAGACACTCGTTACCAGCCACAGTCTAAATTCCAAGCCCTTCATACTAGTCTTACAACTTTGCTGAAACTTCTATTGTATTTATTGTTAATTTGCTTTCATCTTGAAAAAAATGAAATATCCCTGGAAAACGTTAAGCAAGCAACAATCAATCGTTAAAGCTCGATCATACTCTCAAGGGTGACTAGGGAATAGAAACATGGCTTGGTCTTCTTCTGACCGGCAGTAAAACCCTTTCCAAAGTGGGTCGTCCGTTTGTCTATACAGGATGTAAAAATACATGTACGCAGCCACCTCCGGTCAGAATGGGGATGTCAAATCCGATGTCCCATGCAGAGAGCGTGCAACCCTAATAACCTTTGCAACAACTGTTAAAGGGGACCGTAGACGATATGTTTCAAGTCAAAATGTTTGTCCATATCCAAAATACCCTTATTTTCCAGTGGCTGTCCAAATTTGAAGACCTTCACCTCGAACGGTACTTATTACAGAACCTACATATTGTATCAGTTGTTAATCTGTTATAGCCCTGAACATGCATGAAACATTTCCAACTGAAGCAACCAACAATCAATCATCAATTACAGTTCGATCGAGATAGGGCTATATGTTTACCGTTAATACATGATGATAATGAACGGTTATGCACATTTTTCAAAATAATGCAAATAAAACAGAAATGTAATAGTATTGATAATATAAAATAACTAATAACGCCAATGACAATGACAAAAGGAAATGAATTGCAATAGTATGGATTTTCTGTGTCAAAGTACTGGTGGTGTCGTCAGTTAAGTTCTCAGTGTTATCATCTATTTTAATGGCTTTTCAACTTGCTTTATTTATGAATTTAATAATTACATCTCGTTTGATTGCTTTTTTTAATATTTAAAAGAACTGGACATGAACTTTACAATGTATATAGATATAGGAAGATGTGGTATGAGTGCCAATGAGACAACTCTCCATCCAGGTCACAATTTATAAAATTAAACCATTATAGGTATATATTATTCATCTGTTGTTTTTTTTATTCAAAAGTGTTAAGTCGTTGTTTAATATTTTGTGTTAAATGACAAATTATTAATATTCCACTTTTTTAATTGTGTACATGTATGTTAAACTTACATTAGCACTTTCATCTTCTGTCTGATCTCTATTATCATCAAAAGGAACAACACCTTCAATTTCATCTGTATCTAAAATTCAAATTCAAATTAGTCGTTTGTTCTTAAATACAAACTATACAACGCTATAGTCCTGCAATGATATAAATCACATTTCATACTAAGAAAAACGTGAATACTTTAGGAAATTATTTTTTAAAATAGTGAGGACCTTCTTTGACCTTTAGTGGATAGTTGTCTCATTTGCAATCATACCATTTCTCTTTCTTTTTCAAACTGTTTAAGAACTGGTCGGTACACTTATTGAAATATAAAATCACATAACCGACGATACAAAATATTGAATACACTACCTGTTGAACCATCTTCAATCTGGATAATCTTCTGTAGTCCTTTGTTACTTAATTGTGTTTCCTCACTTTTGCTTTCTAAAAAAAATTAAACTATATATATCCTAATTGACCAAGCCTTTTGATTTGAAAATCAAAGACGCAATTTTTCCAACAGCTTCTTTGAATCGTAATTTGTTCATTTATTTTGTATGCATGCGAATGTGTTGTCTAAGTGAAGCGCTATTTCGTCTATCTTCTGTATTTTTTATGAGTTACAACGTTATTTTTCAGTCGCATAGATTATGTACTTTCAATTTTTTTATTTTAGTTCCATTACCGGTATATATTTTAGTCAAAATAAGCGTAAGGATGCCTTTTCCTTTTTAGTATACATTGAAAAAATACTAAATAAACGCTTTCTTTAAGAAAAGAATGCAGATCGATAAAGTTTACCAGGTAACCTATGTTTAGTTGAAGCTATGAAATATTTGCAAATTGATACTTTAAAATCTTATCTATATGTTATCATGTATGCAAAATATTCACTACCTTTTTGTACTAATGCTTTTTTTAGTTTTCCATTAGCCTTCGTACTGCGCGATGTTTCCTTGTGAGCTAAAACGAAAAATTGAGTCAATTGCATAACATACTATTCAATATATAAACAAATTCTAAAAAATAAAACACTATCAGATTGTTTTTAATTGGAAATAGAATACAACTAACTAATCAAATAAATAAGAACTATTTTTGTTTATGAAGACCATTTGTACATTACTTTATTTGTTAAATATTTTCTTTCATCTGTACGACTAATTTTTTTCAAAAAGGAGACTGATTTTGTAAATTGCTGAAGATTGTATGTCTATGTGTGTTTTGTTATTTGTGTCGTTAGTCTGTTACAGTAGTCTCATAGAGTACAAATACAAATTTCGGTAGTCCCGTAGAAACGTGCTCGTTTTTAGTGCTTGAGGTCGTCAGTTTGTTCATTTGGAGTACGGGGAAGAGATTGATCAAACAAAAAACGTGAACAAATGTTTTTTATCTTTTTTCCACTAAAAATGAGGCGTTAAGGAGTAAAAAAAACAACCACTAGTCAACTCGGTTTATATGTACGTGTTCCTGTGATTATTATTTTATGAACAGACGCTTTAAAATTAGGACTTAAGTTAGTCGGTCAAGTAAACAAAGCAGGTTTCATAAGTGTTTATCATTTTTTATATAGATAAGACAATTAGTGTTTCTGTTTGAATTGTTTTACACTAGTCATTGTGGGCCCTTTATAAATTGCTGTTCGATGTGAGCTCCGTGTTGAAGGTTTTACTTTGACCTATAATTGTTTACTTTTTTATACATTGTGACTTAGGTGAAGAGTTGTCTCATTGGCACTCATACCGCGCTCTTATTTATATTCATATGTATATCACATGAGCATGTTTACACCATATTTAGCATGTAATATTTGCCACTGAATATACATCAAACCATTGATATCATTGGCGTATAGCCTATACCTCCTACGCATTCACTTTGAGTACGCCTGATAATTTATTAATGTAAACTTTATATATACCTTTCTGGGCGTTTGGCTTCTTCGTTCTATTACGAATGTTCTGTAATGGCGAATCGACACCTAAAATAACAAATCGAACTTTATTCATACGCTGGCTTGAAAATAAATAAGTTCAGGCATGAACATACATTTACTAGTAATTGCAGAAGCCAGCAGAAATATTGAATTCCAAAATAATTGATTTGAAATTCTGTTTGTAGTGTATTGATTGGTTTTATAAATTTTGAAAACTCAGTTAATACCAATCCGGATAAAAAAACGCACTACAAATATGACCGAATCCTTTTTCTTATTAAAGAATCGTTAACAACAAACATGGTTTAAGTTATGACAAAATGGAATGTTAACTTACAGATAGTAAAAGTTTCTGAAGTTTCCAGTGATGTGCTTGCTCCTTCAAGGGCCTTCTTCTGTGTTTCGGCAAGCTGTTTACTATGCCCGGGCCCAAAATGTAACTTTGAAGGCGTTATCATTGGAACATCCTGCCTTACGTCATCCCTGGAGGGATAATAGTTTTCTAATGTCTTTGCTCTCGCCAATTCCTCTTTTGTCAGCAGTGACTGTACATTTTTAAATTTGTGATACAGCGCGCCTTTTCCAATATATCTTGGACGGGATCGTCTAACCCTTGTCTTTTCGTCCTTGACAAGAAACATAAACGAAACAGGCTCAAGTTCTAGCTCACGTAGCCGAGTGAGCTGTTTCGTTATTTGTTTCATAGCTTCACTCTTTATTCTTCTTTCGTTTGATACTTTTGCTTGCATCTCTTCTTCTTCAGTGAGATATCCTTTTTTCTCGCAGACCCGAGATTTTTCAACACTGCAAAAAGAAAAGACTAATAATATATATTTGTCAGAACAGAAAAAAATGCTTATGTTGTTTGGTTCATAATGAAAATATCTTGATCCTCTTAAAGTATAAAGCAAAGTGACAACAATAATACCAAATAATTTATATGTGCTTACATTGTTCAGCAAAAAAAGATGATGCATTTTATTTATTATTTTGTTTTATTATTAAAAAAGAAGCGAATAGAAGTTTATATTGTAGTTGAAACTATAATATTGACCAACATTTTAGAACTTCGTGCAACCAGGTGGCTTATATTGTTTAATTTCTTACTATTTTTTATAGAAATTAACACAAATTAGTGCTTTTAATAAGGAAAAGAAATTATGTTAAACACCGTTTATTACTGGAGATAGAGTTTGAGCAAATGTCGAGATATACAAAGTCCACGTGCAGTGAATGCACATATTTTATAGAAATAAACATGATATATATGCATAAATATATAAAAACGAAAGTATTAACTTATATTTATCTGAACTTCATTATGCAAAATATGCACAATCATTGACAAAACTTCATCCTTGGGAATGGCATATGAATATATGGTGGAGATACACTATTTTTTGTAAACTTATAGACCCATCCCCTTCTTAATTTCTACCAGTATATCGAAAAAAAAAACGTAAACATAAGAATAACAATGATTTTTTTTTTTCGAAAGTTTAAAGTTTACAGAATTAAACAATTAAAAACAAACACTTTTTAATTAGATGACAGTGTGGGTTGCATTAAACTCGAGTATGATAATGTGCGATATACGTTTTTTTACCTTGAAATGTAATGTTTTACTTCATTTTAACATGTTTTAGATCCATTTGGTAAATAAAATATTGAAGTCGTGGTATCATTTCCGTCTCATTGCAGTCTGTATTCATGTTTTTTTTTTTGGATATTTATGGGACTTCATTTAACAATTACTTTCTTGCATTCTTTTACATCGTATACAAATTCTTATAACAATTCAAACATGTCAAATACATGTTAGTCTATCCAATTAAAATTGTTATTTATAAATTCTATCTGCATTCAGCGAATTTTGAATTTCACAACTGAAAATTCTAATTACCTATAGTAATAGGACATTTGTTCATTTCCAATAAATGATCAAACTACGAATATACGTTAAACTTAAAAAGGTTTTAAAAGATAAAAATAAATATGCTATCATATGGTGTAAAACTGTCTTCATACAACTATTATAATTGGTCTATAAATCATCGTCAGAGACAACTGTATCAGTGCTCAGCACGACATCCTGGATTTCAAGTAACAGGGTCAAAAAAATGTCTTTCTTCATTTTGTCCTCATCAAGACAATCAAGTACTCTTGTATAATGAGTTTGCAGAGCTTCATCTGAAATTTCATTAATGATTTTTTTCTTAATTTTTTTGACAATCTCTGGCTTTGGAATTTTGATAAGGTGACCAGCTTGTTCTTCTTCTGTAATATAAACTGGCTCACACTGATTAATGTGGGGACTTGGTTCCTGTTCCAAAACAGTGGTATTAATCCAATTCATGCGCTTAGACGTTGACGTTTCTAAAAAAATATTTAAATCTGAATGTAATTTTTCGCCGCTCATTGAAACAAAATCATCTTTTGAGAGATCGAGGTATGTTCGTAGAGACTGTCGAAATCCGTTTACAGCTTTTTCTATGCATAACTGTTTTGAAGAATGGTCATTACTCTTTCTGGGACCAAGCCATGAGGAAAATTTTGCCTGAAGACTCTCTATGTAATCAAGGTTACAGCAGACGGAGTACCATGTATCATCAGAAGGAATACTTCCACTTGGAATAAATTGCTTCACGGCTCTATTCTTTTCTTCCAAAAGAAAATCCATGTCTTGACCTTTTGATGGATGACCACTGACGGTAAATGATATATTAGTGTCCCATATATTTCGCACGTCATCTGGCATAAAATGATATTGAAGTGTGTCAAACAGTTCGATGTTTTGATAATGGGGATGAGATCTACCATAAAACAGTTCCTTCAGGTGGAATTTTGCACTGTGTACAAGGTCGCTGTTGTTTCTCCTGACACCCATTCTGAGGTTAATGATAGCCCGTGAAAATCTAAATACTTGGAGATGGAGGTTTTCCCACCTAGGATTGTTGGATAAAACTTCTTTGTAAAATGTAAGATACGTTTCTGGTGTTGGGCTTTCTTTAGAAAGAATCATTTTTGTAACGAATGGAAGAACCATTTCTTTCATTGCCGTTGTGTGGAAAACTAGTAAAAGTTGCCACGCCACGTGATGATCTTTACATGTTTTTGCAAATGTCTTTGCATTATCCGTTGTGAAGTTGAGTAATTCGCACATGCTCTCCAAATAAGGCGTCCAATTCAGTTCGAAGAAGGATTTAATAACATTCATCTCGTAATGTCCTAAGCCTATGCGCAAATACAACCAGTCAAACTCTTTGGCAAATGAAGGAATTAAGTTTGCATGATTTATTTTGTGGTGTTCCCTATATAACTTGCGAGACATAAAAGAATTTTGACAATAGCAGCATATGATACTTTCGTCTAGATATAAACTGTGCGGCCTTCCATCACAGCAAACGAAAGTCCAATGACGGTCTTGGCCGTTATATTTCATAATTCCACTACTTATACCAATTTGACGAAGTACAAGTGCTACCGAATCATTGCTGTTAGGATTTACAAAGACCGGTTTACCCATTACTAAGTCAGTTTTCTCTTTATGGTTTGTTTTGACATGTTCGAACCGGATATGTTCACTTTTGTCCCACTTCTCTTTTCCCAATACAATCTCTTGCGATCCTGGATGTCTTTTAACTTCATCAATTTGTTGTTTCTTTGCTCTTGCTTGCTTTATGCCATCCTTCTGCTTACAGTTGTCACAAATAAGTTTACGTCGTGCATTTTCTTGTCCGCAGATTGTGCATACCAAAATTTCCTTTTCTCTTGTCTTTTTGTCAATTTCTTTGTCAATAAAATCTGTAATACAGTTTTGGTTTAGTTCTTGTTCTTCGACAACGTCTTTAATTGCTTTTGACAGGAAGAAATATAGCTGCTTATAATGTGTTTTCTCTAATTGCTCGTACTCAGGAAGCTTACTGTCTCTAATTTTTTGCACTTCATTGATAAAGTACTCTTTTTCCTCACGGACTTTGACAGCTTCCTCATTAATAGCACCAGACATTTCGATATGTTTTAACTTTTCGTCAAAGTGTTTTACTGAAAACCAGTTTTTAGGTTTGAGACACTCATCGTGTTGAATTGCCCTTTGATTATCGGAATGCATGCTTGCATTGACGATGGTAGTTATGACTGAAGACACAGACTTTGAGCCAGTACCTATATTTCTTTTATACCCAATGACTTGTTCATTGTCAAATGCAGTTACCACAGTACCGGAAGGACAACGTGGTGCAGTATCTTCAGTTGAGGAGAGCCATTTTTTCAAAGTAGTATATGTTCCACTTGGACAGCTCTTACCAAGCGAGTCAATCGCTACTCGGCTACTAGTTTGCGTATAAATGTCTAGTGAAACAAGAAAAGCAAACGGAGTGACAAGTTTTTTGTATCTTAAACTGTACATGTATTCGACTACACGACAATACATCAGGGCGAGTTGTGTATCAAGACTTTTAACTTGTACAAAGTCTTCCCCAGCTATTCCAGCAACAAAAGAGACTATAGTTCTGTTTCGTTCGTTCAACCAAACATTGGGATCTAGGCTAAGCAAAGTTTCTCTAGATGCATACTGTCTTGATATTTCTTCGCTGTCTGTTTGTAAAATGTCTTTTTGTTGTTTTGCAATTAGATAAGTGATTTTTGCCTGTTCTTCTTCTGAAAGTTTTTTAATGTACAATTTCATAAACGAATCTTTCTCTGTTGCGTTCAATTTGGAATATAGCTTTAGAATATCAAATGCAGACATACCACCATCATACTTCTTTTGGCTTTCAGAGACAGAATTTAAGTTTATATCATCCTGTTCTGTGGGCTCGTGTTGTTTTTCTGCTACCGGTAAAACGACTGTGTCAGTTGTATCAGCGTGTGTATATTTACGAAGAGAAGCTTTCGGGGTTCCTTTATATTTACGTTTTCGCCTAGAAATAGGATTGCAGACTGAACACTTGTCAGAGTCATCATGTGGAGAAAATACAACCGGTTCTACGCTGGTATAAAAATCTTTCTTATCAATCTTTGATTGTGCATATCGAAGTAGGAGCATTTCATGATTCCTGCATAATGATTTCGGGTGGATACTTGTGTCGTCTAAATCAACATTGATTTTGAATAATTCAAATATTTGCATTCGAAAAGCACCTTTATCTTTTGTACCATGTTGTAGATCATGAGAACCACATATTCTACACATATAGAGTAATTTCTTGTTATGAGTGTGAATGTTTGAAAAACAACTGTCAGGATTCAAACTGAAATGACAATGACAGATATTCACTTGATTTATTAATTTGAAATTAAATCATTAACATTATATAACTTTTCGACAAAAAAATACACAAATAAAAATAAATATAAGAAATAGTCTCCATTGCATAGAGTATTAGTAACTCCAAAGAGATATTAATGTGTAGATATAACAATCCCATGTTTGTAAGATGCCTCTCCGCTTTCCCCGAAAGAAAATAATGAAAAAGTGGAATACACTTGAATTTAATTCATTATATTGTTCACTGCGCGTTAATCAAACAACAGGTGGGATATAAAATGGAATAGCTACAATGCATTTCAATATTCCCGTTTATACAATCCTGACAGTTCGTTTATTCCAATATTTAGTCGAGTTGTGTGAAACAATTTGAAACGCTAAATTTCTTTGGCAGAGGCGGATCATGGGGGCAGGATGCCCGGCACCCTTATGGAGCTAAACATTTAGTTAATGCATAAACTTCAAACTGGGCCTATTTTGGGGCTCGGTCAACTCCTTTTAATTCAAAATATTGGATCCGCATCTGTTCGGTAACAATGCTCATTTAACCTTTGCAAGACATTTATGGCAAAAAAAACCCACTATTTAACAAAAACAGGTTCACATATACTTTTTATAATTATTTGTACTTGTACAAAATAAATTGTCTTGTTGTCATCCTCCTATGATGCAAACGGTCATTCTTAAATAAGCGTTAATGTGTGGTCTTCTTTGCGGTCTGTGTGTAAGGTTAATCCATGTAGATTCTCAAACATCTAAGACAACGGTTTATTATATCCAAATCTAAACGTAAAGCGTCAAGGTTAAATTGCTAAATTAAAGCCATATATGTTCATTGTTGGACGATACCAAATTTATTTGTACTTGTTACGAAAAAAAAAAGATCGGCTTACTCTGTTTTTTCCTTGATTATTAATTTTGATCAAATACATTTTATACGTTCCGACAACGAACATAGTTTGTATATATATGTGAAAACTTTGATGACCCCCCTTTTTTTCTAAATATTGGTTGTCACAAGTTTAATGTTTTTTTGGTAAACATTATTTGCTATTTCAACTTATTTTCTCTCAGTAATATTGCATCAGTCTACACCACGGTCAATTCTGGTTTGTATACAGTCTTTAATTAAAAATCATATTTTATGAAAACAAACAATAGGCCAAAAAGTGTACAGAAGATGACACACACAATATTTTAAATACACTCAAAAGCCGTTTGTTAATCTCTTACAAAACAGATGACGTTGACAAGTGGATGGACAGTGAATAATGCTCACAGATTTGTTATGATCTCATATGACATTATAATTATTATCTGCTCAGTTTGAACGCTATTAATATATTTCTTCCATTATTGAAATGACTGAATCCAGGTGCTTGACATTAATTATCTGATAAATATGATCTACATAAACAAGTCTGGATGGAATTCTGTTTGCGTGATAATATTTGTCCGTTTACTTGTGATCTCCATTATACGTTTTAATTTGCGGATATATATATAGGATATTTCATCACTTTCAGACATTTTATACAATAAATCGCTTCTTTATTTACTATAAGAAAAACTAAAAGGTTTCCCAAGAAGACGGATGTTAACAATGCAAGTCGACAGACAGAAGGGTATATATTTTCGTTGTTGGCCAACACAATATATACAATTTACATTTGAATGTAATTCTAAAAATAACTTTTTGATCTAAGTTGAATATGTGTTACCGTGGTTACGTAAACTGTAGATACATCTTGTAATGAAGTTTACTCAATAACCCTTGTAGAAACTCATCTGTGTGTGTTGTTGAATTTATCAGAAGTCACCAACTGAGATCAAGTGATACGCTAATCCCTATTATTTAATAATTTGTATAAACTTCTCTGAGATAAATTGTTAGTGATGTGTCAAGTAATTTGGATTAGAATCGCAAAAAAATAAGAAATGATTTCGGAAAAAAAATGGCAATCTTTCACATGCAAAAAAAAAATATATGTATCACCACACCTTCACACAAAATGTTTATACTTGGTCATAATTTTATGTATTGGTAAGAGTAAAACATACCTTTGGGTAAGTTAAAACAATGGTATTTGAATAAATTGAAATGTATATAGAGGAAACAGTAATTAGACAGCAGCCAAACAAGACAAATAAAGTAGTATAACATGTTGTTAAATGCAAAATTTCACACCTTAACGATATTTTAAAAAGATTCAAAGAGAAATCATAGAGAAACAAATATTCATCTCAATATTTAAGAGTTTTTAAGGGTGTTGAACAAAATACAACACAAGTATAAAAACTGAGACAACTATCCAACAGAACCCATAGAACGAGAAGATGTATGCAATCACATGTACATGTCATTGTCCATTGTCCGGCCTTCAACATTTAGCTAAACCCATACCGTATAGTAAGCTATACAGGGCCTAGGCAAAAAATAAGTCTTAAAAAAACACGTGTCTATTTGCCTAACTTTAAATCGTCAAAAGTTAAATAAAGGTTCATTATAATATGTTCAAAGTATTTGTTAGAGCATTCTTATGTCGTAAATTTAGGAAAAATCATATGTAACAAATGAACATGCATGAGCTGTCACGAAAATAAACATATTTTTTTGTCGGACCTTTTACCCTATTGCTATTGCTTAAAAAACATATTTAGAATATCAAAAATGGTCAATTTCATGTACATGAAACACAGAATGGAACAGAGATATTATAACTCAATGATCTTGGAATTGCGTCGTTTGGTATGATATTAATCCGTCACATCATAGATTTTCAACTACTAAATATATTGTTTTGAATTGAAATAGTCTAAAAATTAAAGAATACAAAATTCCGGGGCAGTACCCATTACAGAGATAAATTTGATATTGCATTTACGTTGAACCAAAGATTGTATTAATTTTTGCTTTACATTATAAGACATATTCACAACAAATAAAAACATAATTTGACAATTGATGTAATAAAGATAGCTGCAATACAGTGATCATGTTTACCAATCTAAATGTATTTATGATCATATTCGTGTAAAAAAGGTTAATTTATTCCAATCTATAAAAGTTGCATTCCTTCAAATGTTCTTTATAATTAT